TAAGTTACACATTAAATAAAATTGTGTTTAAAGTGTTAAAATGTTTGTCCAGGCTAATCTCCGAGACGGAGATTATTCGATTTATTGCGTTTACTATGTTAAATAGTTAATTATTTATAATTTATTTGTAAAAAAATCTTCATCGAATTTAAAATTTATAAAAATCTACAAATTAAACAAACCTTCGTGAATAAAATTTCATTTAAAAAAATCCAAAAAGGAATTATGCAAATGGTGAGACGAATACGAAGTTCTGAGTTGTAGTAGTGCACAAGGACCCTTAACAGTTACAAAGATGCTTTCTCTTATTTTTGTTATAAATAAATAAAATAAAATATATCGTGAATTGTAGAAAAGATTTATAGAAAAAACATCTTTAAATGATTTTATTATTTGTTGTTTTAATGAATTTAGAAAATTGCAAATTATTTACTGTGTTATTTATGTAGAAATTTTTATTCATGGCGAATTTTTTAATAAATTAGAAAGTAAATAAACTTTCTTTCCCAGAGGAGGTGTATCCAGCATGACTAAATTATTGATCTTTTAAATACACATTAACAAGCTGTAACTTTATGGCATTTTAGTCACGGGCTGAAGTTAGCTTTAAGCTAGTTGACAGTTTTTAAATGTGAAACAATCTGTCAAATGCAAAATGAAGCAAAGATTTTTTGGAAGTTAGAAGTCAGATATTTTAATGTTTGTGTTCGTCGTAGAAAAAGTATAGTATGCAATTCGTTTTATAAATTTCCTTCACAAGTAACTGTAATGTTCGTGTCTAATTAAAGATATAGGTATCTATTATTATTTTTTATATCTCGTTTAATAACAAATTAGAGATTTATTAATTGGTACTTAGCTATAATTTAAACTTTTATTTTATTTATTGAATTTACATATGTATATACTCGTATCTATAAGTACTTAGTTATTGTAGTTTTATCAAATTAAAATAAATTAATTAAATATATTTAGTTTTACCTTTTCTCATAATGATAACAGATAATAAAACTTGTGTTTAAACGTGTTGTGTTTAGCAGATGGGCTTTTAAAAATTTTAATGCCGGTGCTTATTTTAAAACTTTATATTACCAAAAGGCAGATGGTACTAATTAACCAAATAGGCACAGCACTTCCATTTTTATATGGAATGCTCCCTATGGTTTAGTTTCGAAGACATAAGCATGAAATTAATTTTTTAATTGACTGACATTTATTGGATTTAACAATTGGATGCAATTGGGTTTTGTACGCATGCTTGCAAGTTAAATGTTAATGTATATGGAATAAATTAAAATAAGTAGGTGTTTTGTAATTTTAATGACAATAATTTTTTTAAGAATATTTCTTTTGTAAGTATTGTTTAAGCCAACCAGGCGAATGTTAAAGTAGGTTACGTAGACAAAAATAGGTTACGTTATTTGTTAACAAAACATGTCGGTAGTTTCTGTAAAAATCGGTAGATCTAACGATAAATTGGTAGGGTTGGCAACGCTGCGTGGAAATATTAAAAGTTTAATCCTGACTAGTCCTTGTGTTAGAATATTGACTTTGGTCGGTGGCTACGCTACTTTATTTATATTGATTTAACAATAGTCGCTCAATATTTGCAAAGCATTAAATGTAATTCTTTGCTGTTTACAATATCGTTAGAATTTCTGCTAAAAATGTTATTGCGATTCGAAAATGTTTACTATTATTTAATAAATATTTGAGAATAATCATTATTCAATAATGTATGTATGTATGTACCTACCTACATTATATTAGGGTGTCCGTTTCCAAGTTGTCTTGGTTTTATGTGTAAATCAAAATGTATCCCTTGAAAATTGACCGTTTAAATCCGATATAGAAGCAGTTTCACAGTAAAAGTAAAGAAAATATTTTATGGGCACTCCAAGGTGGAGTCTTCACATGAAATTAAGATAAATCTAGTTTACTGCCTGTTCATATAAACTTTTCAAATATTGGCGTTGAGAAACTATTTAATACTTTTGTTTTTTTGTATTGAGATAATAAAATAATTTTCACATTTAATATTATTTTACAAGAAAGGCACTTTATTTTAACGATTGTATGACATTTGACAACTGTCAACTAACTTGAAACTAACTTCAGCCTGTGACTAAAAACCTGTTGCGAACTTCAGCCCGTGACTAAAACGCCATACAGCCACAACTTGTCAATGTGTATTTAAAAGATCACTTGGAATCATGCGCAATAACAACGGATTGATCAAACAAACCTAATAATTATTAAATATTAAAATTAATAATAATATTAATTAAAACTACTTACTTTTTAAAATTTATAAAAAGTTAAAATACAGGTAACATGTTTGGTAACACTTGGTTTTTTATGAATTTCTAAATCTTAATAATATTATATTATATTTTGCGTTTAAGTGTGCCCGATATCTAATTGCTATCTTATTGGTTTTAGATAATAAGTACTCAATCATTATTGAATCTCTTAAAAAAAATTTAACATACCAACATGTATTATTATAGTATATTATTAAAAAAATTTCAAATCTTCAATTATAATTTTTTTAACAAACAAAACATATTTTGAAAATCGGATAAGAATTGAAGGCGCAGTTTTAAAAATTAATTTGATATTGCAATAATTATTAAAAATATAACATAACCATAACATAACATAACTGACTTATCCTGAAAAAGGTTTTAAGAAATTTTTTATATCTTTTTTTGGTTCAGACTTAAAGAGTATAGGTCGTAGAGAAAACTTACGTAAACATGATTTTAAACATTGTTTAGATAATAAGTTAAATTCCCAATTAATAATAAAAAAAAACATAATGTTAGAAAACTTAACCTCAAAACCAAAACACATGTGTCAATAATACCATTAAGGTTAGTTCACACTATTCACTGCAACACTGCACATAATCTAACCGGTGCCATTTTTATGTTGTTTACAATTCTTTGGGTTTGTGCTGTTTATGCAGAATAAAAATCGTTTTAAACGTTGTGTTTCTTGTAAGCCTCAAATGAAGCTTTAAAGTGCTAAAAACAACCGTTTTACTCGTCTTCTGTAAAAAATAAACCTTATTCTATCAGGGCTGTCATCAAACTGTCAAATTTAAATTTGTGGGTTATGGTATATTAACCCAAAGCACAAGAATTGTAAACATAAAAAGGCCGCCGTTAGATTCTGTGCAGGTTACAGTGATTTTTATAGTCTTTTATAATCTATGGACTGCCCAAAAGTAGATAGAACAGACCTTGTTGAGGGGATTGTGGTGTTAAATTGTTTAATTTTTGATTCTTGCCAAGCTTGCTTCGCTCGTGTGTCAAACAAATGCTCATTCACAATCGACCATTTTCTTCACTTGTTGCACAATATACTATTAAACTCTTGTTTATTTTATTTGCGGAATATAAATATCTTAAAGAAAAAAATATTAATTTAAAAAAATGCAATTGCAGACATACTCTATATTAAAAATGTGGGTAAAAGGCATAAGGGGATAAGTCGACTTATCCCGAAATGTGTTTTTTTGCATTAATCTTATCTTAATGTCATAACACATATGCTAGCAAAAGCGTACAGCCCTACGTTTAAAAATTAATGTTTTATTGCACGCTAAAAAATAAGATAAGTATACTTATCCGTCAAAAAACAGTTATTCTTTTTAATATTCGTTTTATGAGTCAGGCAAAAAGAGACAAGTATACATATCCACATATGAAATGTTAATGACATCGAGCATAACGGGTTATGTGTACTTATCCCCTTATGCCTTTATGACATCAGAGTGCAAATGAGTATTTACAAAAGTATAAGTAAACTTAACCTATGACAGTTCTGTCAAAATCTGAAAAGGCAGATAAAATTATTAATTTTATATTACTTATAAAATACAATAATGGATATAAGTTTCCGTGGGTTACAAATTCTTCGAAGGGAGCTTATGCAAGGTAATACTTAGAACATTTTAATAAAATCTATTGTACTTAATATAAAAACTCAATAATTCCAGGTAAATGTGAAAATAAAGATAACTTAACAGAATCTGATATTAATTTATGTTATGAGCAAGAAATATTTTGACCATCCTGGCTCAGTTAGACAATGATGTCCACGATTATTACAAAAATTTGCCAACAAAAGTCATGAGCCTTAATAGCGATAGAGAGGATTTATAGTCTTTTTTACATAAGATTATAATTACCTAAAATTTATTACTATATTTTATTCATTATCCGAATATAGATATCACTTGTGTTACTACAATTTTATCTAAGTGTTAAAAATACTATTTAGTTATTTCTGTTATATTATTGTTAGTAATAAATCTATAATAGTTCACAGTTTGAATAAATTTCTATTTTTTAATTTGATGTAGTTTTAATATTTTAGGTAATTCATATACTTAAAAAAGTCGCTAAATTACAGGTTTGTGGATATAAGCTTAAGTATACTTACTTCTTTTGGCCTGACCTATTATATTGAAATAATAAAGATAAAAAATAAAGCAAAAGGGGATAAGTCAACTTAAACTTTAAGCTTTTCACTTAATTGAGTTTTGAACTAAGTATGTTGGGATAAGTAATAATTTATGCTTTTTTTTCACATTTTTTGCTATAATTACTTTGAGTCTGTAATTCAAAACAATATTACTTTTAACAATTTTTCCAAATTTATACCTGCTAACCATAAACCATTTCCTGAATTAATGCAAATACGTTTTAAGGCTCTACTGAAAAGTTGCGTTTTTTGACTTATCCCCTTTTGCCTTTTTACCACACCGTAAATTTTACGGTGTAATAAGTCTTTTTGTACCGACAAAGAGCAATTGTTCCAAAAAAGTAAACTAATAGCTTTCAACAACAACTATATTTGTCTAACGCCCTTTGACAAATAGGTTTTTCCTCAAACAAATTAAATTGAAAATAACTAAAAGCCTTTCAGTATTTTAGCGGGTATTTTAATTGTTACGTTTTCGAATAGAAGTAAAAACAAAAATAACTTACAAGCAATTTTTCCTCCGAATCATTTTCTATTTCTATTGCAAACCGTACACTCATTATTTTACATTTTTGTTTGACATCTATGACAATACTAGGGACTATTTGTTGAAATAATTGTTGATATATTTGCGATCAGATATAAGATAAGACAATGACATATAACTACACCCATTGTTTGCTTGAAAAAATCTTACCGTAGTTTTTTCCATTGCTTAATCCAAAATATGGCACACATTCGCTATAAAGTCACGGAAACCCCGACACAAACCGTCACAAACATTTTGCCCGCAAAGGAAGGAGCTAAATGAAAAAAGGAACAATCTCGTTTTGAACGGAGGGATAATTAAAGTGAATCGTGAGGAGGAAGTGGCATTTAAAAGGGGTTACTGGCGCTGATTTTCGCTTCCATTGTTTGTAACGCGTTGCATGTACGCAGACCAACGGACGCAAATGGGGCACCTACATATACATATATACATATACACAATGCACGCAATCAGATTTAAGTGGCCGCTTATTTTCTTTTCACCGTCTCGACTGTGCGAAATACAATGGGGAGAGACTTGTTTTACTTGGACAGGGGCCCTTTTCAATGAAATGTTTTCATTCATATTCGTACAAAGATATACAGGGTGTTCTAGACATTACTGGTTTTGGGCGATATTTCAACAAGCCATTTGTTTTTAATCAATGTTGATATCAATTACAATTTGGAATGTTAAATACCTGATTTACATCTCCACTAAGCGATCTTTTAAATACCCATTGACAAGCTATGGCGCTTAAGTCACAGGCTGAAGTTGGCAACAGAGTTTTAGTCACGGGCTGAAGTTAGCAACAGGTTTTTAGTCACGGGCTGAAGTTAGTTTTAAGTTAGTTGACAGTTATCAAATATCATACAATCGTTAAAATAAAGTGCCTTTCTTGTAAAATATTACTAAATGGAAATATTATTTTATTATCTAAATACAAAAATACAAAAGTATTAAATAGTTTTTTGACGCCAATATTTGCAAAGATTATATGAACGTTTGTCTTAACCTTTTTATTTCGCCTTAGTAGTGTAGATTTAACTGATAAAGCCTTAAAACTTTTGCGTAAAGTGCCCATTAAACATTAACTTCTATATCGTCTATTTTCAAGGGATAAACTTAGATTTACACAGAAAAATTTGAGATTTTAACGCCGGTAGATTGCCAAGTTAGAAATTCTTATGGGAATTCCAATAAATACAACTTTTTGTACCTTTAACATTTCCCGTGTAAGAATTTTTAATACTTTGTGATAATATTTTGTATTTATAGTAAAAAAAATCAATGGATAAAATATTTTTTTAACGTACCTAATTATATTCATTTAATATTTTAAAGTATCAATAATTTTTAAGTTTAACTAAAATCATAACGGGCAATGTTAATGGTGAAAATTAATCAAAATCAAAAAAGTTGTTGGGATGGTTACTTTATTTTCGTATAGATGTTCTTTATGCAAATATTTAATTTAAATAATTTTTCAGATAATATTAAATATTTTTCGTAGAAAAAGTATAGTATGTAACTCGTTTATAAACTTTTCTAGGCACTCATTTAATTAGGAACTTGCTCGCAAGCTTGCTTTTGCCTAGATTAAATTCGTAACTAAAATGGCGTTTATAAAACTTGATAAATAATATACTATTATTAACCCTGTATCTGAAGAAGCTTTCTCAAAATAAACTTTTGTATTTGTTTTATTTTATTTATTTTCACAGTCAATTTTTTTTTAAGATATCATATTTTTGTAATTGCAAAAAGAAAATTAATTTCACAAAGAAAAATAATTGCACAAAGAATATTCATAATTGTTATTGCTATATTACCAAATGTCAGTTTGACGTCTATCTGTCAGTGTCATTCCATGCACATTTGTAAGAGAAATCGCGAGTTAATTATAAAAAGAATTGAATTTTGTACCAGGAAATGTTTTTTTCAATTTTAAAAACCCGAGGTTCAAAAAAAATTGTTCTTTAAAAAAAGATGCCCCTTAACATCCAACAGTCGATGAAATAACGCGTTGCGACGCCTCGGACCTGCAATCCTTAATTTAATATTATTATAACTAATTTCCTTAAAGTTCAAATTGGCCACAAGAAAACATGTAAATGTAAATAGGCAACAGGGCATCATTAAAAAAACATATGGTGGATTATCATAGCAGGATAGCAAGATTGAGTTTAAAAAAATTGTTCAACTAAATTAACATGAATTCCGTGTTTTATGTTACTGAGTATACAGGATGGTTCAGTTTATAAAATCGAGTTTTTACCAGCCGATAGTTTATCAAAAGATAAAGGTAGTTTGTCAAATGGGCTTTGATCAAATTTCAAATAATTAAAAGGTATTCTAAGATATATTTATTAACTTACACAGGTTTTGAAATTGTTGTTATTTTGTCCATCATCAGGTAAAAAACAATAATTGTTCATAATGCTTTTATTGAAGTAAACACACTAAGTAGACACACAAAACTAATTGTAAGTAGTCAACTGTATTGAAACTAAAAGTACTTATGCTCTAACCTAAAAGGAATACGAGACTAATATTATTGTAATGCTCCTAACCACATAGATACTGTTTAAACGGAAAATAAAACTCACAATAGAATTGATAAAGTGTCATTTGATAAAGTGGGTAAACTCGAATTAAATGTACCAAAGTCAGTACAAATATTTTGACTGGCATTTTCAAATAATGCAAAAATTGAAAGATATTAAATTTGATAACAATTTCAGGTAAAATTGTCAATAGTTAGATTAAAGTAACTAAGTATGAATTAAATTAATTAATTCAATTAATTTAAAGGTTTAGGACAGGTATTTTAATTATTAAAGCAATATTTTACGTGAGGGTATGTTAATAATTATTATAGTTATTTATGTCATAAGGCTGATAAGTCGAATGGCATAATACTGTATTATGTATCAAGTTTGATAAACGCCATTTTATACACGAATTTAATTTAGGCACGAGCGAGTTCTTAAATTAATGAGTGTATAGAAAAGTTTATAAACGAGGTGCATACTATACTTTTTCTACGACAAATACTTATTATTATCTTAAAATGATTTAAATCAATTATTTTTATAGAGCGCCATCCATGAAACAATAGGGGAATCTGTGTGTCACTGTCAAATGTCAATTTTTTATATTTTATAAACACAGATTATAAAGGTTATAAATCGAAATGTATTTCTTGAAAATGGACAGTTTTTTACAGTGAAAGTAAAGAAAATGTTTTATGAGCACTTTACAGTGGAGTCCGTGCCCGAATTTAAGTTATAGTTTACTGCCGGCAAAATTAAAAGGTCAGTACAATGTACAATATAAAATTTTCAAATATTGGCGTTGAGAAACTATTTAATACTTTTGTATTGAGATAATAAAATAATTTACAAGAAACGCACTTTATTTTAACGATTGTATGACATTTGACAACTGTCAACTAACTTAAAACTAACTTCATCCCGTGACTAAAACGCCGTAAAGCCACAACTTGTCAATGTGTATTTAAAAGGTCACTTAGTGTCATGGAAAAATGTACGATAATGGTCGTTTTAAATGTTTTATCCAGCGCCGGATTATAAAAATTTGCGCCCCGGGTCTAATAACAATTTTCCGCCCCTATATAATAAATTCAAAGAATTTTATTTAACCAGAAACATTAGGGTTGTAGTATTTTTTTGAAATTTTTTTGATTTTGGAGATCAAATAAAAAAAATAAGTCTAAAGTATTTGAGTTTCAACAGATAAAAAAATTTTAGACGTCGCTCAAAACTTTTTTAAACCAACCGTTTTTCTCAAAATCTTTGGCGTCTCACTATTTTTTTTGTAGGTCGTATAGGAACATAAGTCAAAATATTATTGGTCGCTCAATATTTTTGAAATACATTTCTTGATTTTTTTTAATAATTTTGATCTTGTAACCACTACTATTTTTCCAATTTAGTTGATTTTTTTGAGCGACGTTTATTTTTTTTGAGTTGAAACTTGAATACTTTAAACTTAAATTGTTTCATGTGAGCTCCGAAATAAAAAAAAATGTCGAAAAAATATTGCCACCCTAAAAACATAAACAAAACTATATAAAAAACAAATACCTAAATAAGAAAATTAACATTTTGCCAATTCAACTTTGCGTGCTTTTAGAGACGAAAATTTGTTTATCGCAATATTGACGTCATCTTTCAATAGGCTAATACCTATACTGTATATATACATACATATATATATGACTGGTACTGTATATAACTATAGTTTTAAACTAATTTAAATTAATAGTTGTTCGTAGTGTAATAAAATATTCTTATATTAAAAAACCTTTACGCCCATACGCATCGCATCGGTGGAAATAATCAATTTCTGCAAACTAAAGTTCTTGTCGCCCAACAACTTGTCGGGCGCCCTACGTAATACGTGACATGACATATTTCGTATACTATGCATAGATAATAATACTATGGCAACAATCACGGTTATAATTTAAATAATTTTTTTATTAAAACTGATTAATACACGAAAAATAAAAAAAGGGAAAAACCCTTTAGGTTGTAGTAAAAAACAAAAATTACCAGTCAAAAATTTTGCGCCCCCTGTAATCTTGCGCCCCGGGTCTATAGACCCCCAAAGACCCCCCCTAAATCCGGCGCTGGTTTTATCTTTAGGGTACAATTTATTTGTTAAACGATACATAACACATGTTGAAAAGTAAAAAGTAGATCTGACAATAGTGGAATTTTTTAATCGGTTTAAACATTTTTGACAGATTAGGAGGTAAAAACTTCACCCAATTGGTACAGTATACAGCCTAGGCAATAGTTTAAATTATAAAACTCTTTAAGATCAACAATTTTATTTTAAATAATATAAAAATTACTCATATAGGTCAATCTATTTAAAAGAAGATTTGTAGATAACCACACAACTGAGTAACATTTTTTTTTCAAGTAGACAGACTACAATGATTCTCTTAACGTGTTTCATAAGCAGCCAACTAACAAAGAACCTAAGCAAAACCTAGAAAAGCCATTTTATGAGTAAAATGAAAAATATGTGAGTAATTATGCAGCAGTGCTTAATGGGCATCACGTGTGTTTCAAATTGATTTAACAGAATGCGTAATTTGCGTTATTTGCGGCAAACGGTTTACGTGGATATAATTCTGATAAAGGAAAAATATTATACGAAAATTAATATTGGCTAAAATAAATTAAAAAGTGCACGCAAGATAGGCTGTGTACAGGGAGGTCCACGTTAGATAAGCCATATACTTATTTCAGAAACTACTGGAATCACAAAAATTTGTAAGGGGACAAATTTATGATCTAAATAAATCTTTTTTAATATTATATTTTCGTTGGTTTTCCTT